GGTCAGCACACACAAGTGCATGGTCGGTGTTCACACCTGTGCTCCAAATCGAGCGACAGTTCTGGACGCAGCCTCTCCAGCGTTAACTTATCGCAATGTGATCGATTTGCGTCCATAGCTGGTTCGAGGCTGGTGGGTGCCAAATCACCCTCCGGCGGATACTGTGTCTGAAATTAGTGCTCGTAAGAAAGAAGCGAGCATTCTCACATAAATGAAGTAACCGCTCACCGTTATCACTACGGGAGCCTACACCGTGCTGACCGCCCAGAAGCATTTCATCAGTGGACAAGTTTCTAACTTGTGTGCTCGGATCCTCCGCCAGCGCAACAGTGTCCGAGCTTCTTCTGTGGCTAAGGAGTTCGTTCAGTTGGCGATAGAAGTCGTCTTCTAACGAGTCATCGCTACAGTTTGTGGGCGCGTAGGCAGCGATGACGAATAGACACCTGTTAGTCCCGCGCGACTTCGAAGTTTTGAACGAGCCAACCAATCGGACCGCACACATCCAGCTACTGATTGGAATCCAATCAACCAGAGTAGCTTCAGCCTGGGGTCTCAGGGCAATGCCAACACCTGCTTGGCCGGTGCTCGATGCTGCATCGTCACCGGATAGGCGCAACGAGAAAGTGCTGCCAGTGTCACCTGATGGGGATCGTAGAGTGAGTACGGAGCTCGAGTCTTGCAGGCGGGTCTCCGATGAGCAGCAGATATCGATGGAGAGGGTCTCTCGTGTTCTGGCAAGTGCTGCCTGTTGACCGATCTGTAGTAATGTGCGTACATTGAGGCATGCCAATCTGAAGGAGGATCGAGGGCTCCAAATGGAAGCCGATGAACTGGAATGGACTGCTTGCTTGGACATGGGCCTGTTGACAGGGCAGGAATGACGCTCCGCGTTCACATGTGAGTTGAAACTAAAAGACAAGCGACTATTGAAGCAAGGTGGTGGAGGGCCGAGAATTGGGGGGTTGAAAACAGGGGGGATAAAAGTGAAGCTGGAACGGGACGATAAGGGTGAAAAAGTGTAAGAGGGAGTAAGAAGACGGAAGGCTTGAGCAGTAGCATCCAAACCCCTATCCACCCTGCCCGATGCAGCAGCTAGGGTACCGTTGATTATCCTCTGCGGTGGCCAGAGCATCAGAAATTTGTTTGAAGTGCGGTTCATTGTATTGCGTGGGCAGGATACTGTCAGGTTGCCCAGGCCTAGATAGGAGAACGATTAGGATTCTCAACCAAAGCCTTTGGTTCAAAAACCTGTCCGCAAGGCAGCGGGTTTGGCATTGGGCTACAAGGAGTCCGTTTCAAAGAATAAGATGCCACTCTCATTCCAACCCCCAACCTGGAGGACCAGGAGGCTGAGTTTGTCTGGCCTCCAACCATTGACCAATCTGGTATGAGTGGCTCTGAAGGTGCAAAAGCACCACCCAGTATAGCTCAATGGATCAATGAGGCACACAAGCCATCGCACCACGATAAGGTCCAACCTCATTGCGACAGTAGAACTGCGCTTCATCCACATAGCGTGTCCCTATGAAATGGATGCCTAAATGAGTTCATCCGCCGACACGTGGAATTAGAAGCACCAAAAGTGAACTAAGTTTCTGCCGAAAAACGGTTAATCTACCGTTCGTTACCACTGAAAGGTGACGTGATAACAAAAAGGACAGTCCGGAAGTCTCCAATGCCACCACCAGAACATTCCCTGCGGCCGACTTACGAGTCAGCTACATTCCTACACCGATTGTATGCTAGCAACACAAGGGCAAAGTGCCCTCGCCTGTTTTACTTGTAAATGCAACCGTTGTTTATGTCGAACAAGATATATTGCGAAAACCACGGGTAACATTTACCCTGCTTGGCTCAACAGATAACGGGTGCTGTTATGTCGCACCTGGTTGATTCGAATCACCGGGTAAACACGTGGGCGCCAATTGAACACATTTACCGGATATCCAGATACCACACACGAACGGTCAGATGTCGTGTACTGGGGACTGCAGAGGCATTCGCTATCCGGTTTAAAAACCCGGACCTGTGCGTACAAAAGAAACTATTACAGGCGATTCGACTACCCTGGCCACAGACCGCCTCGACTAATGTTGGTAATCACGCCCTTCCCCCTGATTGGACCTTGAGCATCCAACCATTTGGATATACTGATTAGATATTTCGAACTCTTTATTCATTACATTCGATTAGCGTGTATGATTTAATCCCTACCACCGTGGTGTATTACCCTGAAGATGAACCACTGTTGTATCCTACCGCGAGAAACTTTTCACACAGTGGTATGCACTGTTTTTACTTTAAACTGCATGTTTTACAAATCAAACTGGACAGCATTTATTTTATCTAGCAAGTCATGGATTTGTTAACAAGTTTTTGATGAGTTAGCTTTTAGTGTACAGTGTTCACTCCATGATGCGACCGGAATTGTACAAGCAGCGGACGCTAGTGCAAGACTTTCTCTTGATCGTGGGCGTCGTTTCCCTCAGTTCAAAGCGGTGAATTAGTTTTCTTCTGTCTTTGCGCATTGTGTGTGTGTGTGTGTGTGTGTGAACCTGTGCAGTTGCACGATTACGAGAACGTTGTCATCATCATCATCATCATCATCATCATCATCATCATCAACATCATCATCATCAATCATCAACAGCAGTACATCAGCCATGTGAACTGATGCTTCGCTGCCATACAACCATGAGGGCCTAAGGGAGCGAAGCGGGACTTACCTGAAGACCTTAATATCCTAAACAAACATTCAGGGTCAAGATGCTTACACCTTGTGTAGACAATTTACCGTCACAAACAGCTGGCTATCGTGCAAAGATAAGACGGCATCGGCGAGACAGCTTCCTTACGGCTTTCACTGCCATGCGTCATAATCAGCCATTACCTCGCAGATAACTCAGCGCCAAACACACTTTAAACAGGCAGTCCGATTAGGATACGTCAGCAGACGCGCCACTGGTGTCGGTTGCAAGCCGTGTCCTGTAAAGTCTCGAACCAAGCACAAGGCGAGTTACGTGGACTCCAACCCGGAAGGCGAGACGGACCAACGGCACCCAGTTTGATCGTCACTGACTTCATTTCCCGCTGCGAAGTAAAGTGTTGTCCACCTCGCATCTTGCGCCACTCTACACCTGATAGCCTTAACAAGGCCCTCCCAGGTAAGCGGTGACCAGGCATGCGTAGCACGTGCCCGAGCCAACGCAACTTATTCAGTGATATCTGTTGTTCTAAGGAGCAAGCATGAACATTGTAGGTTGTTATGACCACCAAACGTTGTCTCGCTTTACTAGCCTACTGCTGCACGAACCGATCGAAATTAGCGACGAACGACAAGAAGACGCATCTTCGATGCAGCGACGGTGCAAGCGAACATCATTGACGCAGAAGGAAATCCTTACCAACGGCAAAATCATCCATGAAGCTGCTGAAATCGCCGATATTAACGAAAGCAGCAGTAGGCCAATAAAGTGAGACAACGTTTGGTGGAGTCATAACAACCTACACTGTTCTCGTAATCGCGCAACTGCACAGATTCACACACGCACAATGCGCTAAGACAGGGAAAACTAATTCACCGCTTTAGATCAGGGGAAACGACGCCCACGATCAAGAGAAAGTCTTAAACTAGCGTCCACTGCTTGCACAATTCGGGTTACATTAGTCTGACTGCACTGTGGCCTGAACAGTGTCCACTAAAACTTTACTCATCAAAACTTGCTAACAAACTTCTGGTTTTCTGTTTCAATTAAATGGTGTCCTGTTTAATTTGCAAAACGTCCACTTTAAAGTGAAAATGGTATATTTCTCGATTATGCAAGATATACCACAATTGGATAGTCTAATCGATAGGGATCACAAAGCATATTTATTTGTCCTAATTTTCTAAAGCTGTTCTCAATTAGGTTTTCGGAGTGTTTAAAGTATTAGAAGGACAGCGCGGTTGTGAGTTGGATGAAAGTGGAAGGCATGCGGCTATCCGTGGAACCGTCTCCTGGGGACTTAATTCTATACCGATACTCTTTGGAATCTTTTCACCCGGGTTTCCGAACAAAACCGCGAGATCTCAAGCCGTCGGTCACATCGCTGCAGTGACTCTGCTGCCTCTAGAACACTGCTTTGAGTGGACATCGGTGTTCATCTGGTTGGACTCTAACAAGTAGTGCTGGTGTTTACCTGGTAATCTATCGGATTCTGCTGAATTTAGATGTATACGCATCACCCCGATGACTAAGTGGCTATTCTTGCGTCCCAGTTGGTCACCTAATTCAGTGTTTCCTCTTCGCTAATATGGTTCTCTCTTTGGTGAATTGTTTGGGTAACGAGGTGGGTCACCACGGGACGTGAGAAGAATGATCTATTCATATTGGCGAGTACTGTCTTCTTCCCACATGGTACTTACTGGTTACCCTGCTGTATTTGAACGGGTCAGTTGACAGTTTCGAATTGCTCCCCCACACATATAGAGTAGTTGGACTCATAGTGGCACCGAACCATGCTCCGAATCCCTGTTATTGGATGGACAATGTGGTGTCTCGCAGCCCCACAAACAATCCTGTAAGGTGAAACTCGCCACGGAATCACAAAGCCTTCGAGAAAAACTAGATTTTATCAATATTACGTGTTTACTGTCTCATACCAAGACACCCACAGGGTAGTAGTGCAGTTTCAAATTTATTCCACAGTGAATTAACCCACTTAGGATATGAGTATGGTTGGACCACGATGTGCATTGGAACCTTACCGCGTGCTACATGTGCACCACGCAGACATCGTTTTCATGGAACACTTAATCTCCTCGTTCCCACTGATGCAGAGCGGTCAGCGACCATTTATTTGCTTTCCTTGTTACTAATGTCTCTTTTGGTAACCTATAAACTGTTTCATATCGTTGGAATGCCTATCTTGTCCGCTAGTCGCTTGTCAAACGCCTTTCTCTTTTCCATGTCTTCAGATCGCCCTATCTACTCTTTCTTCACCTTTCTATTGTCTGCCAGTCGTAGCTATCCGCATCCTGGTGCTCATCCTGAATCTCTCCGTCCGAACGAAGCGCATGACCCTACCGTGGCGGATTCAACAACACTGGCATTCACCCGGGCGGAACTGGACCTGCTGAGGCGCGAGATTATCGCAGAGCTTCGTCGTGAGGTGTTACTGGCGAAGCACGAAATTTTAGACAGTTAGTCCAGTTTACTTTCTGTGCATGCTTCTCTTCTGCCCCTCCCCCGCGTTTCATTTATGCATTATGTGCATAATGTGACCGACTATTCCTCCTGATCACTTCTCTTTTTCACTGTGCGCTGAAGCGAGAAGCCACACTGTATCCTTTCATAAACTGTCATTGGTTATGTGCTGCTGTGTGTCTGTGTGCTAGCGTGCCAACTGGCACAAGGAACCGCCCACGGCTACTGAGCGCACACAGACGTGTCTAGACAACCAATTTCTTTTTTTCGTAGAAAGTAGTAGCTACGATTAAAATTTGCACAATAATCCGCCTCGACGGGGAATCGAACCGCCGACGCACGGATTAGCGATCCGCTGCTCTACCACAGCTATCGACGGCTAACGATCAGGTGCGCAATTTAATACATGACTTCTGCTTGGTTCGCGACGTATTGTCAATAAGCTCGCAGTATCTGTCCTGGTGTTGCAGATTGGCTCACTTACTCGTCACTTCCCAATTTCTCTTTGCCGCGTTCCGCCCTGACCGTCAGTTGACGAGCTACAGCCACTGAAGTGTGCAATATCGTACCCGTCAGATTAGTGTCAAAGTAACAGCGAAAGAGCTTGAAGAACTATGCTTATTTATGTCAACTTTTCTACAAACTTTGCAACACTTTTATAGATACATTTCAGTTGCTCGATCAAGCGTACGCAGAAGACTGTATGAGTCGCACGCCGGGTTACAAGCGATTTAAGCGTTTTGAACTCGGAAGCATATCGGTCGGTGGCCATCCCGAGCTTGGACGACCTTCTATGTTAACAGACGAGGACGGTTTCGAGAGGGCTCGTGCTATGATCCGTGGAGATCGTCATTTGGCTGCTCGAGAAGATATCAGCGTATGATCATGCCTTCAACATATGACTCACAAACGATGTTCGTCGTGTCAGTGCATAAATCCTCGTTTGTTGACTGACGATTAAAAACAGAACCATGTTGAAATTAGACAGCGGCTGCTTGCGCCAGTGCCAATGATAAGGAAAATATTCTTAGGGACATCAAAATAGTTAACGAGGCTTGGGTTTGTGGCTTTGATACTGAAACGAAAGTGCAGTCGCTGCAGTGAATGAGGGAGGTGTCTCCTCATCCCAAAAGCAGGTATGTGTCGGTCAGAGATCACGGTTTGGTTTTTCAACCAAACAAACATTGCCTATGAGCAATTTGTACCACGAGGTCAGGTGGTAAAGAAGGACGTTTACCAGGGAATTCTATCGCTTTTGAGGGTCACTGTGCATACGAATAGGCCTATATATTTTCTGCAACAATCTATTCATAGACATAGAGCCAATAGAAACCATGGGACACAAAAGAACGTACAGAAATTTTAAAAGAAAACACAACACTTTAAAGTCCATGGTTTCGTCAGAGGGCGAGATACTACCTGATTGTCCAAGTCGAAGTAGGGTGTTGACTTAAGGAACACCACCCCGGACCTTTGGCTGAATAGCCTACCTGCAAGGCGGCGGATGGAGTTCAGGGAATCGCACCCATTGGGAGCCGGTGACTGATTGCTCAGTTCATACGCCTTTCGTTTGTTCTTTTGTGAAACAGGAGTCCAATGCTCCCCACAATTACAGCATAAATTTGCTGGAATACAATGTTTTGCCAGGATGAAGCAAGGGGCAGAATATGCCTGAACTTTGGGAAGCCAAACTTGGTGTTGCATCGTGACAGTGTGCCAGTTCCCGCATTGTTTCTTGTCCCCAGTTATCTGGCAAAGTATCAAACTCCCGTTGTGCGCCATCCACCGTATTCTCTGGATCTAGCCTCTGCAAACGTTTTACTCTTTCCCAACCTTAAAACCGTTTTGAACGGACCTCGTTTCCAAACCACCTAGAGGGAATTCAGGACAGTGCGGCAAGTGACGTGCACCCTATTCAAGAAACTACGCCCAGATGAATTTTATAACTTAGAAGCACCATTAGGAACAATGTGTACTACCAGTAAAGGAGACTGCTTTGGTGCGTCAATGCCTAAAATGTTGTACAATAAGCGGTGGAGATGTTATAGCTAAGTTCGATTTCTCTTTGAAACCGAACTCTTATCGCTTTGGGAGCCACTGTAATGCCCCATTCACCCTGGCTCACACACACACACATACTGCGATTTCTGCGACAATAAGAGAAGTGGAAATTGTTGTGGCGTACCTCGTGAAAAATGGTTCTATGACAAAGTTTTCAATTTTCCAGAACCCAACTGCTAGTACGTTCGGTAGATGTGGCGGTGTATGGAGCAGCGCACACGGTACTTCCCTAAAAGGTGGTGGTTTCTCGTTTACTCATGGCTATGTTCCCAAATGTAGCCAACTGAACATCAAGTTCTTGATCTGCGATGAATGGATAGGTAAGGGTGGCAGATATATGGTGTGTGTTCCATTTGTTAATGAGTAATTCCCCGCCTCATTGATCTGGTCGCATTTATGCTATATCCTAGATCTGACTGTTTATGATTACTTGAATACTTAAAGGGAATATTTCTAGACAGTGCAAGGTGTTGCAGTACACAGTCCATCAGGGACAAACACGTTTGGTATGCCAAACTCCTCTATATAAATTACACGTTCAAGTCCATAACTAGCGACTCTTCTGAGTCGATGAGGTTCCTCCTTTGCCTCACTTAAACAAACAGTGTATTGCTCACATGAATATCGGCCAATCCGAGTCCAGTAATCGAATCCGTCACGCCCGCCTCCGATTGGCTGTCTGGCTCTCCCGGTTGTTCCATCTGCTCACCCTGATCTGATACTACCATCGCACACCCCTGTTTTTCGTGTTTTTGCGCCTCCATATTGCTATCCACCCCGTACACATCGCCACTCCGCGTCGTCTTCGCTGTATCTGCGGCCGTGGTCTTCTTGTCCTACGCCATCTGCCACTCCACTCCCAATCCACATTGTTGTCTCCGGTGTCGTCTCAAGTACACTCTATTTCTTCTGAACCTTTTCCCTCCGAGGTTTATTGGCTATGACCTGTCACCGACCCTCGCAGTCACCACCCCTTTCTTCCACCGCTCTTGACTATCGGGTAATTGTTGAACCCACACTTCATCCCCCACCGTTAGCTCAGGTAGTATCCGTGCATTGCGGTTATAGTACCGTTTCTGAGTGGTCATTCGTCATCTCAGATTGTTCTGTAAGCGCTCGTGCTGTGGCGAAACTGGGCGCAAAAATGTGAAAGTTGTCGGTATCAGAGTTCTAGTCCTTCGGCTGTATAGGCGCTGCAGCAGGCTCAAACCGATATTCGTTGGAGGAGTGTTGCGATTCTCCAGTAGCATGAGGTACGCGTCCTCACCAGTTGCTCTAGTTTTTGTTAACAGTCGCCTGGCCTGCTTCACTGCCGACTTCGACTTTCCATTCGATTGACAGTGATATGGGTTGGTTTCCTGGTGCACGAACTCTCACTTGGTTGCAAACACCTGGAACGCACCACTGGTAAACTGGGGCCCATTGTCAGGGACCAACTCATTCGGTATACCGTGCCTCGCGAACTGACATCTGAGCTTTTTGATTACTCTGTCTCTGTGGTCTTAATGATGCGTAAGTCGATTTTAAAATAATCACTGCAGTAATCCACCGTGGGCAAGTACTCTTTCCCGTTGTCACTGAATAAATCCACCGCCACCTTCTTCCACGGTCGGTCAGGGACATCATGCAGCATCATTGGTTCCCTCGTCTGCCGGATTTCGTAGGAACGGCACGCCTCATAATTCGACATATGATCTACTATTTGATCAGTCATCCCTGGCTCGGTTACTGGTGTAGTTACAACCCAGGTGAATGCGATGAAGGTATTTCAGCATTTCTCCTCGGCGCGATGACGGAATCAGAATACGGCTTCCTCTGAACAGCAAACCATCATAAACAATGAGTACATCCCGGAAATTGAAGTAGGGTGTTAGTTCCTTCGGTAGCTGCTTCTTTATCTCTGGCCACCCATTTAGAATAACGTCTCGGAAAACTGAAAGCGTTGCATCTTCCTCTGTATGGTGCTTGTTTCTTTTAGACGATCTTCTGTTACTGCCAGGTGCTGTACTAAGTTTACTGCTTCCGACTCTTCCGGATTGTGCTAGGGTACCGGCAGATGAGCTCTTCACAGCGTCTTCGCGATGAACACTAGGCGTGTACACAATATCCACGTCGTACTTTTGAAGCCAGTTAAACATACGCTGAAGGCGACCAGGAACGACCTACAGCGATTTCCTAGTTATTGAGACAATCAGTTTGTGGTCGTTATACACGGTTGTCTTTCTTCCGAAAATATAATCCTTGAAACGCTGCGTGGCATAAACTACCACAAACATCTCTATCACAAACTGCGCATAACGCTACTCGATCACGATGAGTGCTCGACAGTGTAAATTCAAAGGTTTCCCATTCTGTATGAGATTAGCACCTATTCCGTCTTTGTTACTGTCACACTGTGTCTCCAAAGGCTGCGCTGGATCGTAATACTCAACTACCGGCGCGTTGCTGATGAGGTGCTTAATAGTTTTGAATGCGGTTTCGTGATCTTTTCCCAAAGCCACTTTACTCTTTTGTGAGTTAACTTCCTGATCGGCGTCAAAATATCAGCAAGTCTTGGCATAAAACAGCTCAAGAAATTCACCATACCGTTTAAGCGATGGATTTCCTTCGGTCGTTAGGGGGCGGTATCTTTCGAATTACCTTACTTTTTCTTGGATTGACCCTGATACCTTGTGTTGTTAGAAAATGCCCATGGAAAAACACCTGGTCTTTCCGAAGTTCAATTTTTTTTACCTTTAGGCTTGCTGTTCTTTTGCACACAACACTACAAGAAGCGGTAGAGATTAGCGTCATGCCCTTCTTCTCTCGAGCCGTAGATCAAAGCATCGTCTGCCACACTTGATACATCATCTACATCGTTTACCACTTGCTCCAATAATTTTGGAAAGTTTCATTCGACATCTTCAATCCATACGGTAAACGCAGCCAACGATAA